AATTTGACTGAGGACTGTTTCTTGATCCATCCTGAAGAACAGATTCTTATGGAACTTGCTCCATATTGACTGATTTTTGGAATTAAAATAACTAACTTTTATTGTTAATAGATTAATCAGCATATTCCGATGTATCAAAAATTATTCTGATCTAGGTATTTCTTAAAGAAATAAAAATGTATTTGAAGCTAATTTAGCAAGATACAATTTTGCTGTTTCTTATATCAATTAAATGCTATTTATTTATTCACAAAAGCTATCTCAACCATTTGCAACTTCCTTAACACCAGTCTAGGTTTCCAGTGACATTTTCTAGTCTCTAATTACAGCTCAGCTGGTACTTGGATAAGCTGTGCAATACACACTCTCATTATATTGCTCCTCTCCCATTTTGGCATTGGGACATCAGTTCACTTAAATCTAGATTTCTAGAAATATATCAGAAAGTAAAATAGAAACTTAGTGGTGAAAAAGGTGCTAAAAGTATACAACTAGCCTAGCAATCTTAAGGTAGACGTTAAGTATACATAATACAAGCACACATATATGTGTGTGTAGAGAGAGAGTGGGTACAGTAAGTGATATTAATCCAAATGATAAAAGAATCCTGGAGTGCATGAGGGTATCCATAATCAGACGCGTACTTGCATTGTAATCCTATTTCTGAAGTGTCTCTTCTGCTAACTATACACAGAGATCATGCTTATTGACTGATTCACTGGCATTTTATCTCTTTGTACATGTTCCTGGGAAAGTGTAAGAGAGCTGCACAAAGCATAAGCTGATACTTGCTCTTGTTTTTTTAGAAAATGAACGCAAGCAGGGAACTTACTTTTGCTCTATTTGATTTTTATCTGTGGCTCTTTCAGTGTATAGTTTTGTAGTATATAGCATTAGCACATAATTTAGTATATATTAAGTAACAGTATGTTATGCTTAGCATTGCGTTAGTATAGTTCTTGTTCTTACAGGGTGAATATTGCATAAATTAGAGAGGACTGTATATAGTCCTCTCTAATTTATCTTTATGAAAGATCTACACTACAAGTATATACTTATTCTTAAAATCTTCCTCTGTCTAACCAGAAAAGAAAAAAATAGGTAAAACACCAGTGAACAGAATTTGTTTCACTGTTTGCAAAACACCTTTTTTTTTCTCCTCCAAAATGAAATTGAAGTATCTATCTCAAATTTTTGCCACCAACAGGGCTCTAAACGCTAAGTGATGTAGCACAGGTGTGTGTAAGCTATACAGTGTATTATGAATAGAAAGAGAAATCTTCTTGTTTCCCAAATTGCCTTGTGCTACAGACCTTATTCCTGTATGAAAACCATTTTCATGGGAAAAATCAATACATGCACAGTTCTGAATTGAATGGTCTTATTTCACTGCTGGCATTATCTCAGGAAAACCATTTCACATTCTTAACAGACCTACAGTGCCTTTTTTAATAACATAAATCCAGTTGGGCCGTTTAAGAACCCTGCTTCGTTAGCTTCTGTGTTTGGGAGTTGAACGAAACAGCAAAAGCATCTTGGAAGCAACCTATCTTTTTATTTTTGCCCCCCAGGAATTATTTTATTGCTGATTAAAATGCTACATGGCACTGTGAGTAGGCCCAGCATTTTGCACTCATTTGTCTGCAAGAGGGGCTAGTGTTGTGTCCCGCAGTTGCACTGAGGGAAATGAAGTGAGAGAACACAGTTGTGTACTGCACGTGTTGGTTGCTAATGTGACAACAGCAGCTGCTGCAGAGTGAATTTTGCAGCCCTTCCTTGCCCTGAGAGCCTGGGAACAAGATTCCTTTGTACCTCTTTCAAGAAGTTAAATGTAACTTTTAATGTTTTTTTTGGGAAAGACTGTTGTAGCTTTCTCAGGCATCTCTATAATTGCAACTATGAAGTTCAGCAGAGCAGTAATAAATCTATCTACAGTGTTAAATAAGGTGAGTACTTGAATCACAGACACAATCACATTTTATACACGAGCCCTTAAAACTTGCACGGCTGGCATACCCTGGTGTGTAGGTTCATAATACGGTCATTTTGTCACTTGTCTGTTAAAGAAGCGGTTCGCTTGCCAGCGATAACGTAGGCGGCCTTTTGCTTTTGAACTGAGCTATCCCAAAAGCTAGAAACTCTGCCCAGCCAGTGTGCGACCAGGGCTGTAAAACTGGACAGGTCAAGTCAGTGTGTTTGGAACTGTCTTTATTTGGTTAACCAGTGCAGTTACAGGGCCATCAGAGATGGACATTGCTACGTCACATCGTGGGAATCCTCCTTCAGGTAAGGGAGGGCTCTGCCGTTAGCTGGGGAACAGGCGCTCTTCCCAGCAGCAGCATATCCTCAATGTCATGGCTGAATTATTGTACTACATGGACAAATCATATCCCTCCATCACGTCTTGGAACGAAGGAGGCCGTTGTTCGGCTGGTTGTGCGGGCGTAGGTCAGCACGATATGACCAGAGGGTTGGACAGGGACTGGCGACGCTGTGCCTTCTCCAGAGGCTGGCTGTGTAAGAGTTCACAGGCCGACAGCTCGTGGTAAAGAGTGTCTAGGACTTCAAACAGGTGAGCTTTTCCTTTTAAAAGAAAATGGCAAATGTTATAATTTGAACAAAGACAGAGTTGCAGTTTAACAATCATAACACAAGTTCTCTTCTTTGTAAGTGTGATTTCAGGTAATTAACATAAATTGTCTCAATTTTGAGACCAAATAATGAATTCCTGTCCCTATAAAAATGGGAGTGGAGCTGGGTTCAAGGACTGTTTTGTCTACTGGTTCTCTTGCTTCATTCACTGCTCGTTCACTGAGTTCTTGCATACTTTTGTGAACAAAGGCTATTTCATAGCACAGTGAAGAGTTGCTAGTCCATCCATCCTTAGCCTTGTCGAAGAGGAGGAAGATGTTTGATGACAAAGAAAGCAGCTTAAGTCATATCAAGTGCACAGCCAGAAAATCGAAAGCAGGGATGAGCCGTTGATGGCAAAGGTGATGCAGAAGGGACAGAGAGCTTCACAAGGTTACTTCACTGGTTGGTGTCATTTTAGGGAGCAGAGCTGTGCTGCCAGTACAGAGGGAGGGACTTTGTTTCAGCACCATCCCTTGGAGTCAGTGTTCCTGTGCAGGGTAAGTAGCAGTACCTTCTGGATGCTTGTGTGCTGTGGATACTGATCTCCTCTTCTCTTGTTCTCGCCAGGAGAATACCTGGTGAGAGCTCAGTATAGTTCTCTCTGTGTTGGTGTCCAGGAGCCAACAAAGGTCTGTCTTTGCCCTCTTTTCTCTGCTTCCTCTGCAGCCGTGCTGGAACAGCACAGCTTAGCTCAGCGCTGCCTGCGCCCTGACTCACTGGACACTGGTAATAACAAGGCTTTGAAACTGCAAAACCCAGAATGGGTTGTGTGTTATTCTCCCTAAATCACTGTTAATAATATTCTCCAAAATTAAACCCTCAGGTCTTTTATAATCTTGTCTTTGACTACTGCCTGCCTACTAAAAGCACCTCCAAGCCATGTTCTTAGGCTTGGAACAGGATGCTAATTTCTTGAAGGTAAGTTCAAGCTAATAGGAACAAAGTAATCAAACCTAAACCCCCAGGCTGTGATCCCTGTATGGTTCCTACAAAGGCAGCTCTGGCACACCAGGCCATTGTCAGGGGAGAGGAGTTTGCAAGTTTAATTTTCAGAAGAGGAACACAAAAGGCTATTATTAGAGGACTGCAGGTTTGCCCCGGTTTGTCTACAGAAATACTCTGGTATACTTACTTGTGTTGCAGCAGAGGAATACAACACACAGTGGGATAGCAAACCTGATAAATAGGTCTCTTACATACTTGGCCATGTCTTCCATTTTCTCCTATCAATGAAGCCCTACAGACATTAGTGGGATACTGAACTGTTCCCCTGAGGCCAAGTTCTAATTAAAATTTGGTTAAAAGAACCCTGGCTGTGTTCCTGTCTGATGTGTCACAGACTGGGAAGCATCACTTTCTACAGGTAATCTTCTTGCCTAGTACTTCTTTCTGCCTAGCCTGTCCCCCAGCATTTGAAATATTTTTTTCCTACTCATCTGTTCATTATCTAGTGTTTTTCCCAAAAGGACACTTTTCATGCTTCTTGGTCTTTATATGTGATTTATTTTCTTACCAGGTTGGGGGTCACGGCAGGATTCCAAAGTGCTCAGCAAGATTTTCCCCAAGGCTCGCTTAGATATGTTCTTTAAAAAACAAAATAATATTATGGCACAAATATGTCCTTCACCAGCTTAAATGTACGTAACAAAACCTGTGCACAGTGGATTTGCATTTGAAAATTAAAACAAAATGAAACCGAATCCTGATATTGGCCACATTTCCAAGCATTTGATCTCAGATACTGCTCAGATAACAGCAGTTTGTGGAGGGCTGCAGTTCCTTAGTATGGCTATAGAAAGACAAATAGCAGTTATTCAGTGGCAAACCCCAGAATTTTCCAGAGTGTGTGCCTAGACAAACCTAGATGGCACGGGGCGTAAGCAGGCCATGCGCAACAAAAGCTTGTTGAGCCCTCTGCTAGGCCTGAGCTGAAAGGTGAACGGACAGATTTTGCGGTGTGATCTCAGGAAGAGGCTGCTGAGACCCAGCTGTTCTAGGAATCCTTGGGAATCATTTTAGGTATAAACACATTAGAAGAGATTGTATGTGTCATGGCAGGCCCACTGTTAGTTATATACTGAGATGTAATAGACATTAGCCAACGTGAGAGGACTGTGAAAACTACTTCGGATTTGAATGGTCTTTTCAGTGGTAGTTTTACATTAGAAACCTGTTGGGACATTACATAATGTGTCTGGAAAAACAAGCTCTCCTAATTTGCTGTCGAGACACTAATGCACGCTTTCTGGGCAATGGTCTTGCAATCAGTTTAATGAGCACTTAGAGCCCGTGGATCTGCAGGGACAGGTTGTTCTGGTTAAAACTTCAAGAAGTGAAAATGGATGGAAGCTATTCTGGACGAAAGACGATGTACCTGCCAGCTGCCCAGGCAACGCTGGGCCTTGCCGGTCATCTGCCTTCTGCCGTTGTGCCCCAGTGGGGACTGGGGCAGAGTGGAAAGCAGTTTGCAGTGAGGCTGGGGTCACACATGACCTCTGCAACACCGTGTGAGGTTTTAATAGTCCTAACAGAGCGCAGACTTGCCTTTGGACAGTCATTGCTTTATAGCAGATTCTGCTGCAAATGAGATGCTTGGGGTGTTTACAGCATGGATGTAAATATGCTGGGGAAGTACACCCAAACCCGCAGTTTCTGAAGAATAAGCTTTCTTTTGTCTGAAGTATCTCCCATCAGGGATTTAGGGGATCCTTGCTAAGCTCAGCTGGGAATGCTGTGAGTTATCTTGTTCATTTGCAGCTTGTATTGGTGCTGTGGGAGTTGGCAGCACGTGGTGGCATGTTTCCAGCAATGATTAGCATTAAGTGCTATTACCACTGAGATATGGCACACTGTGATGGATTGTCTGCTAAGCAGAAATTATTTGCAATAATACAACTGACCAGTGAATGACATGTTGAAGTCTTGACAAAGAAGGTTTAAGATGTTTGTCGCCAGTCAGAGTTTTTACTAGTTTCATCCTTCACTGGATTGTTATTGATGCATTTGTCAGACTTGCAATATGAAAGTGGAATATCCATGTCAAGTGCTCAAATAAGTCACCAAATTTTGAGATATTGGACTTGTTCCCCAGAGTCATCAGTGCAACATGAGTGTGCTTCAAACAAAGTGAAGTGATCATATGAGGAAGCATTATCACCTCACAGAGATTAGGTAGAGCTTTGCTAAAATTTAAGGAGAACCCTTATCAAAGTAATTATCAAAGAAATTAGCTCCTAGCAGTGCTATCCAGCTCCCAATGTACTCCATGTTCTGCAGATGATCCAATTCCCCCGTCTTTTGGCCAGCCCTTGCCAGTATCGTTCCCAAGCAGGCAATTTAAACTTATTTTCTAAAGGACCAAACTGCCATACTGGCCACGTATTTCTGGGATGCCATTACATCAGCTTTTATAAATCCATGTTTAGATTATTAATTGGGTAAGAAACTTCTCACAAAACATACCTTCTTGGTATATAGGAAGGAGTTTTATCCCTTTAATGCTAACCCAGCACCACTGTAGGATGCAGTTAAACAAAGGTCCTTTTCTAGGAGGAAAAACAATCTCCTAGAATCTTTCTGATTACTAGCAGTGTGTTTTCCTTGTTTTCTCTGAGATTTTGTTTAGAAGATGTGCTGGTTTTAGTCAGGGCAGAGTTAATTTTATTCACAGTGGCTGGTATGAGCTGTTTTAGATTTGCGCTGATAATAGGACTGATAAGGTGTTTTTTAGTTGATGCTTGCACCAATTCAAGGTCTTTTCCAGTTTCTGATACTGCACCTGTGTTCCCAACTTTCTCACTACAAGCAGCGCGCTGGGGGTGTGGGGGGCAAATCCAAAGCATATCCTCATAGCAACCTCTGTGAAGAAAATTAACTCTGTCCTGTGAAAACCAGCACAGAGGATAAATGAGAGCTTGAAGATCTAGATCCCAGGGCATCTCCAGGCCTATTTTAGAAAGTCAGCCATAGAGGTCTAGAAGTTTTCTGCAATCACCAGGCAGTTCCCAGGGCAAGCACATGTGCAAAGATTTCTTGGTGTAAAGGACTTTCTACACAACAGGAGGTATGACATCCTTTTTAGTTTGGAAGGGACAGTCTAAACCCAGTTTCAAGTCTCTAGACTGCTTTCATGCCATACCAAGTCTCGAAGTTGTTGAAGAAGCTGTAAAACATCCACGAGCTTTTCTTCCACCAGTGACAGCCTAACTCTCTCAGTCTCCAACATCTGCAGCTCCACCTTCAGCAGTTCGGTCTCCTCCGCCTTTTGCTGCCGTTCACCTAGCAATGGGCCTTTCATCTGGACAATGACACAGGAAATTAAAAGCACGGGAGCTTTTCACTTTCTTGCCCAATAACTGTAAAGCTAATCTTTCCCCTTTTCTGGGAAATGTCAGGTCCCTCCAGAAGATCATTTTGAAAGCAAGTACATTTCTTTACCGTACCACATAAAGGGAAGAAGCAACAGTTGCTAGGAGATGCGTGCTCTGCTCTTTCACGTAACGGCGGTTCATTCCGCACTGGATGTAAGCAGATCGTTCAGCAATTTTAAGTACCAGCGTCACCATGTCAGTTCTCTAATCTTCTGCATTCCTGTCATCCTCTATGAAGCATAACCCTCTTGTGTGCCCTCACCAACGCGATCGGATTTTTGCCTTGCAAGTCCTATGTGTCAATCACCTGAATGTTCAGTGAAACAAAAGGGTAGTTGCTAACCTAAGTATTTTGGTTGGAAAAAAAGAAAGTGTCTTAAGAAAAAAAAAAATCAAGATCTTTGTTCTGCAAAACACTGGCATGCTTACTTGGTGAAGCACTGGTTTGCTGCCAGTCCAGACTCAACAAGACTTCGCACTACAGAACTCGGGCTGGAGAGGTCTCCTCCAGAGCTGAGCTGGCGTGTCGATTGTCTAAGAACTCCCAGTGAAAAAACACGGTTAGGATTTGGAATATGGCTTTTGCTTCACTGCAACGTGACATGTTTTGAACTACAAAGCTGCCACACCATTTGCAAAAGGAAATACCTTTGCTTGTCACAGACCCAAGCAGATACATGGCCAAGTTGCTAAAAAGAGCCTAAAAAGCATGCCACTTAAATAGTAATTTTTCACCTTGGAGAGCACTGACAGATTTCAGGTTAATTACTAAAAGTAAACTTATTTCTCAATGATTGCTGTGCCCAACATCTGAAATATTACATTTTCTTGCAATTTCTTGTTGCAAACACAAATCTAAACATATTTATTGATATTACACTGAGAAGCAAAACCACATGGGGTAAATGCCAGGTTCACTGGCTCTGTTATTCCCTTTCTGCTGTCATCTTTTATCTCTATTGCAGTTTTATAAATAACTAAAGAGAGTTGAACTAGAAAAGCTGAAGGCCTTAACATGCACACTATTTTTTTGGTGGAAATTTGTATCCTAATGAATTTTAATAGATGGGAAGGAACTTCAGTTCCCTAGAACACAAGGTCATCAGAGTGAAAAAAGTAAACAACCCCTGATCCACACTAAGCCTTCTAGAAGGCCATCTCAGTTTCTGCCAGTGCTACAAGTATGTATTAGCTGGTGCTTATTCCCCCCTCAGAGGGAATTCAGCTTGTTCCATCAGCTCTCCACGAACTTTGCCCTGTGAGGCGCTCCAGCTCCTCTGAGCTATACAGCAGCACAACTCCGGATCACTTCACCTGGTCCACCTGCCAAACGATGACTTCAGCATCCCTGTCTGAACAGCCCTTGTAGTTGAACGTACTAACATTTTCCTGTATGGAGAGCTCACTCTGTTACCACCAATGTGGCAGCAGCCCAACTGAGACCGAACAAATGCTCCAGAGGCTGTGGGAGGTCTTCATGGAATTAAACTTGTGGTTTCCTTTATTATGTTGCAGATTGCCTCTGCACTGTAAATATCACCTGGCACAGACACGTACTGAACACACATGAGAAGTACTTGCATTCCCCTGTACAGCTAAAGCAGTGTCATATCAAATAACAGAGAGGTTAAAAGGTCATTATTTTTAAGGGTGAAATAGGCTTTCCCAATATGCCATTAGACAGATGCTCAGGGAAATTCATCGCCATCTATCCTGCACCTTGTCAGGCCCCTGGTCCCCTGACATCACTTGCTGCTGCTTTAGCCATGCTGGCAAGCCCGCCGTTGTTGGAAAGCTGCACAGGGCCTCCTCTCTCCTCGGCGGCCGTTACCGAAAGGCTGTGGGCTGCGCTGGGGGGCTCGCCTACCCTCGTGAACAGGAGAGATACAAACTTTGCTCTGTAGTACGCATGCCACTTGAGCTCTCCATCCTTGTCCAGTGCCACGACCAGCTGCTTGCTTTGTATAGACGGCGCAGGCAATATGCTTAGCTGAGAGCACACTAGTGGTATTTGGACATAGCATTCGTTGCTGCTGCTGCCTCTTTCTCCTCCTCTTTTCGACTGCTCCTACAAAGCTCTTTTTGTTTGCATTCCCTGTGCTATAGCTAGTGAAGTGCTTTCCATGGCAGCTATACCTTAACAGTCACCTGGCAATATCAGGACACTAGTTTCCCAATACCTTTGTTTCATTTATATGTATGGGTATGCAGGTTTTTTGCCTTATTGTGCTTGAAGACAGCAGCTCAGTGTACCATTAAAACATTCTCCCAGATTGTTTTCCCTAGCTAGGTTACATCTAGCACCCGTTCTTACCTTAACATTTGCAATATGACAATGATGGTAGTTAAGCATAACCTATCTTTCAGACTTAGCTACTGCAGGGGGATGGTCAGTAGTAAAGTCACAGGGCTCAAAGAAATGGAAGTTTTTTTGGCTTTGTTAAGGTCCCTCAGCAGAGCCCAATTTTGGTTCTGTGCCACATTTGCGAAATGCAAATACTACTTTGCCAAATGCCAGTTTTGAGAAGTCAACCACTGATATCCAACCCTTGTGTAAAAGGGGGTGATTGCTATGGGGAAAACCTGAGGTCTGAGTAGTATGTACAAATACATCTAGGACAATGAATAATTAATATGTAAAAATCCCTTAAGAGAGAATTATTGTATTTTAAGAGAAAATTATTGTATTTTCTACACAAGTTACGGACGTCCTCATATTAGAGCCATTTTTACAAGCACTGAACCGTGCTGTGCAATTCATCTTTTAAATCATTGCACCCTCAGAGGGCTGAAAGGTGGCAAATGTGGCACCAGTTTTGAAGAGAGGCTGCAGAGATGGTCTGAGGAACAGAAAATCGCCTCAAGAGTATCAGTAATTATGTCAGGCAAATTGATAGGAACTGTAATGGAGAAGGGACTTGGTGAATACATAGATAAACACAGAGAAGATTCTATTAGATTTCTTTGAAAGGGTCTATGAATACATATGAACGATGTTAGTTCAGCTGATAGAGTGTATTTTGAACCAGCAAAAAGCTTTTGATAAGATTCATCACCAAAGACTCAACCTCCCCCCTAACTGCCATAGGGCAGTCGTGCAGATCCTGCCACAGACTTGCAGCTGGTTGAAAGATGGGGGTAGGACACAGAGGGACAGACCAGCATCCAAGTGACAGACCTCACAGTGACGGCAGATAATCCGTAGGGTCTCACAAGGAGCTGGGTTAAGCCCTGAGCTGTTCAGGGTATTCATAAATGTGGGGTTTTTCAAAAAGGTGAATGTCAAAGTGTTCAAGTTTGCTCTCAGTATAATTTTTTGGGGGGTAATCAAAACTAGATAAGAATCAGAGCAGCAGTTTATGATATTGACTAGCTACAGGCAATAAAAGATCAGATGAAATTCAGTGTGAAATGCAAAGTAAAGCAAGAAGGAAAAGTACACGATGTCGTATGTATGCCGCCATGGTGACTGCCACCCGAGGAGGAGATCCGGAGGAGCTGTAATCTGAACACAGCTCAGCAGTCAGCAGAGCTCAAAAGGACACATGCCAGGAGCTGTCAGGAAAGAAACGAGGGACAAACCAGAAACTGTGATTATGCCATGAAGCGCTTGCATTTGAATACTGAGAACATTTTCAGTTCTTCTCATTCCAAAGGGGTAATAGAGCTTGAAAAGTACATGGAAGAGTAGAACAGAGTAACAGAATTAAGTACGGGTTTCTATACCAGGAGAGCTGAGGCAGACTAGGAATACTGATAACCAAGGCAGTATTTCTGGTGGTAAAAGCCTGTACAATTATGAGAGAAAGATCATTTGCTGTTTCCCAAGCACAAAAATGAGGGTATAGTGGATGTACAGGCAGCAGATTTAAAAATAACAAAACCAAATCTTCAAAATCTGTTCCTTTCTAACTAGCATGTGGGAGTCCTTGCCCTGAGATACTGAAAGCATGGCTAACTTTAAAGAGAAAGGTAAATTCATGGTAAATAGCTCCAGTAATGGCTAGTAAACCTGGTACTCCATGCAACATCCAGTTCAAGATGTGTCTGTCCCTAGTGCTTTGGGAACCAGGTGAGTAATTCCAAGAGGAAAATCCTCTGCACTGTTTCTCATTGCTTTTCTCTAAGCAACTGCTGCTTCCCATTAGGTGCGTGATACTAGGATGAACTTTTCATTTGACCCTGTAGGGCAGGTCATAAACTAATTGTCTTTTTGATTAAGCTGACAGTTTGCATGCCAACTTGTACAGAAAATCATTGGCATTTCTTTGCACCACGACACTTGGCAGCATATCACACTATTTTTAGAATTTACTCAAGTTTTCTCCATCTATTAACCCCAGTCCCAACACCTTTATCACCCTGTCTTCAGTAGGAACTGGTTTTAAATGTTCGGGTGTTGGAACGCAGAACTTCCTAGACATGACACATTCCAGAACTCTTTTATCCTCTGGTTTTAGTGTCTTAGACAGAAGCAAGAATCAATTGGTATTTGAGTGTTGCTCTTCACTTGCCTGCCGAGTTTGTTACATCCTGGTTTGTTGTTATTTGTCTGATTTTCAGCACTGAGCAGATCCAAACAGAAGTAAATAGAACAATGTATAAAGTAGTTTTGTCATGTGATCAGAGGAAGTGTTCTTGGTGGTTTATTTATTAAGCAAATATATTTGTTTACAAGTCAGATGAGAGAGAGCATTTCTCAGTCTTCAATTTGCTTGTGTTGATTACAGGAACAGTCACCTTTTTGAAAAGAATTCCTTATTTCTTTTCCTTTTTGTAGCTTGAAGAAACAGCTAAAACTGCACATAAGATACAAACACTGGCTAAATAAAAGTAGGAAGCTTGAAGAATAAAAGTAGGAAGCTTGAAGAATAAATTTCTAACAGGCTCAAAATGGTTCATCCTACCAATTTTAATTTCATGTGCCAGGGAGTTGGCACTGTGTCTTATTCACCTCCCTGCTTGTCTTTAAATCAAGAGGAACAGATTCCATTATTGCCCTGGAATTTTGCATTAATCTATCGATAACGGCACATTTCTGAACAAGTACACAGAACTAATATCCATCAGCAGAGATTAAAAAGAAAGCGATATGGTACTTGTGGGAGAAGACGAGTACCTCTGAATGGAAAAGAAAGAAGAAAACTGACACTACCTCCAGGAAGGTAGTTCCTGTGCCAGTAGTTCTTCCTGCAAGCTAAAGAATAAATGCCGTTTTTCATGTGGGCACATGTTCAGCAGTGTAGAAGGAACTCTGCGATGCTCTGAGGAGTGTTACAGGCATAAATTGTCATTGAATATTCTTATTCTTTTATTCTGCTTTTCAATTTTTTCCTCACAAGTAAACTCATTTAATTAGTCAAGGGGGAAAGTTATGTGAAGCGCTGATAAAAACCTAAGGATGGCAACATGTAAAGAAGTCAAATTTTTTGCTCTTCCTTTGAATAGTTCACTGGTTAATACAATCCCTCCTGAACTACTGAAATCACTGCACTCCATTTAAAGAAGGGGCGTACAAGACGCAACAAGCGTTGAGTGAACCCTTAAGACAACGCAGACCAAAGCAATGCGTGTGACGCACTATTCTTGTTTCACAGAAAGGCTGGTAGCATTTCCATCTACGCCTGTCAGTGGCTGAAGTTTGCAGTGAGATCACATGGGCACTGCTGTGAGGCGTTTAACTACTGTGGTGATAACCTCTGCCGAAGGGAAGTTGAACATGCTGCTAGGACCAAGAACTAATATTTTGATTTATAAATACAGCTGCTCAAGCTTGAGAACCAGCCAGAGTAAACTGGATGATTTCCTCTTAAGGATTCCGAAACGGTGAACCCCTGCACCTCAGTCAGCTGGAGGGATGGATCTGTGCTCCCAGAGGAGCTGGATGCCTTAGGCCATGTGGAGTGTTTCATCTGCAGCTGAGGAACCCCTGAAAGCTGCCGATAGTAACCCTGCAGTTAAGGTGCGGCTTGTTGGTCTGCAGTGGTACCAATCCCAAACACAGCATCAGCAAACGCCTCAAACCGCGTACATAAAGGTCCGTATTTGAAGAGCCTGTGTCTGACTGCACCTACTGTATCTCTCATCCTCCAGATAAACGGAGATGCAGGTAGGAACCAGACTGGAAATGCGGGTGGTACAGGAAAGCATGAGATGTTTGAGCTGACAAACCAATGGCACGGTCAGAAGCATCAGTAACAAAGAGCAGAACAGCCAGAATAAAATGTAAATGCATATGGATATAAATGCAGCTCCTTGAGATACCTAACCAACTCACACTCTGCTCAGCACCTGTTACCTCTCCCATATTTGTTTCCAGCTTCTTCACTTCATGCCCTTTAAGCTCGAGCTGGTCCGTCAGCTGCGCGATCCTCTCGGTGAGCTCCGCAGGGGCTGTGCCGTAGCCATCACTATTGGTCTCCAAGTAAGACAGCAGCTTTTTCCACATTTTTTCATCGCATCTACATATGCATTAAGAGAAAAAAAAAAATGCTAGTGCAGCCTCGTGATGAAGGTTTATGTTTGAAAAAGCCATTTTTCCTGCAAAACTTGGCAGCACAGGTCAGAAATTTGTGTCCTGGCAGCACTGATGAGGGTGAGGTGGAGTACCCAGCAGGTTGTTTCCCATGAGCTGCAAAGGACAGGCAAAGGTGCCTGCTGATTTTCCTGTATGGTGTTACTGCTCCTTACTGAAGCCACGGTGCCTTCAGGTCACGACATAATCTTTGTGAAGGCCTCAGACAGGGTTAATCTCAGCAACCTACCCGCTGCCACAACAAGGGAGCTTGTTCTTCATTTGGTCCACCTGGGATGGCTGGTCCCCGGCCCACTTCTCCTCCTCTTCATCAGAGGCGGCCTGGCCCTCCACAGCGCGGAACAGCTGATCCTCTGCTGGAGAAACCAACAGCCGCTCAGCAACAGGACCACCCCCCGCGTGCCGCAGCTGGGACAGGCTGAGGTGAGGTTTTAAACCCCCCAGGAAACAGCACCAGGTCCCTCAGCACCCACGGAAAGGGGCTGTGAAGGTTGTGCAAGGGAGCCTTGGCAAAGAGGAGGCCGTCCTTTGCTGCACGGGTGTGCAGGGTGGCCGTAGCGCTCTCGCTTCAATCCTCTCTCTGTAATGTAGGGCGTGAAGGGTCAGGGTGTTACTGGGCAGGGCAATTACTGTTCACATACGCAACTGAATATACACTTTTCAAGAGGAATGAGAAACCACTGTACGGTGTAAGGTTTTTTGTTCCCATAATCATTGTAGCAGCTGAACACATACTCAGAGTACAGGAATTTGAGATACATGTTCTTGAAGTCATTTCCTTGCTGTGCTTTGTAGGGGCAGTGGTTTCAATGTATAAATGTAATACTAGACCCAGAGCTATCTAATGTTTAGCTATATAATTTTTACCTACACCTAATGTCTCCTCACATGCCAAGTAAACAATAAATGAACCGTCTACAAGACATGTACTGTTACAACAGCTCTTTCATCTGTGCCTTATCAAAGCTATTGCATTTAACTCCTTTTTATCACAAGAAGATATTTACTGGGGGTTAGAGGATTATGGTGATGCGTGTAACTTACAGGGAATCTTCTGAAACAGTGAGTACGTGAAAAGCACTGGTTACCTCTTCATTCTGAGCTTTTATTTGGAGTTGACATCAGGTTAAGCCAATGTCAGCATGATCTTAAATTTTATAATTATTTACCTTAATCACTGTCAGTCAATTAAGCAGGTTTAATGAATTTTAACAGAGTGATCAAGTCAAATGCTGTTATTTCTTCAAACCCTGACTGAAACATGCCTGACCTTGGGCAGCATTGCGACTGTTGTGCCTTGTGTTCATTCAGCCCAGGGAAAGCGCTTCACGGGACTCAGTCACCCAGCAGACCCAGTAAGGGATTTTCTGTCTCACTTCAAGGACGAAGGTGCTGGCAGCGGAGGCTGAAAGAGATGCTGGAGCATCCCTTCAGAGGGCAGTCGTGCTGCGCCAGCCTCCCTGCTGCCTCCCTCGCCCTGCGCTCAGCAGCCAGGGAAAAGGCCTGGCTTTGGGTTTTTCTGTTGGGTAACACTCGGCGTTATGTTTGCTAATGCAGTTTTCATTCCAGCAGCATCCAACGTGCCGAATTCATAGGTCATCATGTTCAA